TCCTATGGGCTGATCAACGAGTGCGGACACGAGAAATTCCCTTTTCTGAGATTCAGAATTGGAAATTTCACATCTACCATCAATCAGGTTAGCCACAACATTTATAACATGACCAGAATAGGCCTTGCTTACCATGTACAAGATACAATAAATTGATCACTTGAATTAGAAATTCCAAAAGAAACTAACAATAATACATGCTGCAATTCCAAAAGACTAATGGTATGAAAATCTCTTTTTGCTGTATGATTATCATCAACATACCTGTTTTGTAATGTCATTTGTTTTTTCCTCCATAAACCACACCACAACCTCCCTCCCTGCAGCTTCCGATAACTTCTTCTCTAATTTGGGAATTACTTCCTCAATGGGTTTCCTCAAATTTCCAATAAAAATCCCACCATCTCCAAATCTTCTGACATCAGTAGCGAAAAAGGTATCAAATCCGAAACAGGTTTTCAACTGCCATTCACAATCAACAAAAACAGGCACAACATAATCAATGCTTTATCCATCACCATAATTAACTAAGCTTGCTCAAGCATTATAACAAATTATACCCTAAAGTCATATGAATAGAGAAACGAGAAAACGAATTACCTAGTTAGATCGAGTGAATTATAACAAGCTGCACCCCCAAAACTATATAATTACATCATATTAACCAAGATTGGAGAAACGAATTACCTTGTTAAGATCAAGAGCCTTGAAAGTCTCCTCTGCTTGCTCCAACCTCTCTTTTTCTCTCGACAAACTGTCGCGAATCAACTTGTTAAATAACCCCACAAGTGGATTATCACTTGTTTCTCGTCCAAGCTCTTTAAGCTTCCTGTCAGCCCTTTTCTTCTCAAGCTTTATTGCAGCCTCAATAGAGGGATTTCCCATGAACTTCTTGAACTCCTCGTCTGTTTTCCAATCCATTTCTTGCTGTTTCTCTTTCTCCTTTTCCTCGGCCTCATTTTCACTTTCTTTACTCATCTCATTTCCAATATGCAAATCCTTCTTCTCTGTTTCCTCATTAATACGCTCTTCTACAGCTACAGAGGGTGCTGAGGAAGAGGGTTCATTTTTATTCTCGGCTTTTACATAAAGATTCAATCTTTTGCACGAAATTTTGGTCTTTTGGCCAAAAGGGAGTTTGGATGAAGAAGAATAAAAAGACGGCGAAGAAGGTATATAAAATGCGTTTTTGCCAAGTACTCTTGAAGAAGAAGAAGAGGAAGCACAGGAAGTGGTAAATAGAGTAGCCATCAAGGGTGATCAAGCTCCTTAATTTTCTGAAATGAAGAGGAAGTAGCATGGAATTTTGCA